TTGTTGATGATTCGCATAGACACAAAGATTACATTTAGGGCTATTTGAATTAAGAATAACTGATTTGTTATTCACAAAAAGAAAGAACTGGCACCAGGGCTCATATGGCCGCACCGAGTCGAAGAATTTAGAATCCAGAGAGACTGCATCAGGCAATATGATATCTAGCGCCTGGCCTCAATAAGGCTTAAGTATATGTGGGAATTAGAAGGTTTTCGGATATTGCAAAAAAAAGGTGAAATTTTCCAATTAACGGATTTTGTAAAGAAATGTGGAGAAGTGCTAATAAATGAAGATGATATAAAAGTTTTTCATTGTGATAACAATGCTTCTCAATCATCAATCAATTAATGAATGGCGAAATCTGTAATATGGTTCTAGATCCAGAAAATACTGCTACTGATAGTGAAGAAAGTGACAGAGAAATTACTGAAAATGAGAAAATTTTAATTGACAAGTTAGTCGGAATTCTCGAAACAGCAGTGAGAGGACTTCAACAATGTAACTGAACAAGAGATTATATCTGTCTACATAATTAAAGAAAAAGTATTAGCACAAAAAACGAAGCAACTTAAACAACTTACATTAAAAGAAATGTTTAATAAGGTAAACAAATAAATGCTAAGACTTTTTTTTTTTTTTTTTTTTTTTTTTTTTTGCACATTTTGATACCTTTTAGACCATAAATACTTCATTATTTCACAAATCACGATTTCATATTCTTAATTTTATAATCTCTACATGCCATCTTACTAGATTTAAACTGATGATCTAATATCCGGAAAAAATCCCTTCGAGCCCGAATTTCGGATTTTGTACTGTATTCAGTTTCTAGATTTTCAACTATATTAGATAATAACATTTACATGATAAAAAATTCAATAGAGTTTGTAAAAAAAAGTTAAAAGCATTTCTCCTAGAAATTTGCTCATGGTTTCTTTTGATGTAAAATCATTATTCACCAATGTTCCAGCGGAGAATGCATTAAGATATCTAGAATCCAGACTTCGTGAATTTCTCCTGCATCAAAATTGATGAGCTTGCATTTTGTTTCCCAAAATATGTATTGCAAGCAAACTGAGGGATTAGCAATGGGAAGCCCTCTTAGTCCCATCCCTAGCTGATATCTACATGCATTATTATGAATCTAAATTATTTGAAACTTTAAACTTCCTGATATGGATCCACTATGTAGACGATACTTTTACCCTGTTCGATGGTAACAAAGATGTTTTAACCCTTTCGTGGGCCATTTATTTCTCTTTTGAATTTCTCCCGGTTTTTTATGTTTTATTATCAACTAAACAATAGCATTTAAGGAAATATATTTTATTTTGCCAAATTTTTCATTTACATTTAAATTCTAGGGGTGGGAAGTATACTTCCCACGGGACCTTTTATGGTCATAGAGAAAATTCAATTTAAAGGCGATTATTTGCCGTGAAAAGATGAGAAACATGTTGCAATGCACAAGGGTACATCACATACTGCACACATATAGTGGGTCCTCTTTTCTTGGGCCTTTGTGCTACATTTCGTATATCGTCTATAGTTGGAAACCATCTTTGGCATATGATTTCCCACATTGGTTAAGCGTATATCATCCGGAACTGCACATCGTTTTGCTTGGAACCTAGCAGGACGGCCTTTCCTTTTTCAAGGAATATCCGTCTATTAGTTGACGAGCTAATGCTATACGGAATGTTAGCTGGTCTAAACTTCTGTTTCTTATGTTGACTTGTAACAGTATAAAACTATTTATGATGCCAAGATCAATAAGAAAATCAAATACGATGCCACCATTCTACAGATCTTCTTCCTATTTGGTATCTTTCTTTTCTTTGATCGAAGAAATCAACCCCTACCCTGATATCGTTATATACTGCAACAGCTTTAGGGCAAGGTACTTCTGTTTTAGTACCATCCTTTTGTGTATGATTTACAGATGTAATAATCGCTGAATTGTGTGCAGTAGTCAACAATGTAACAGCCTTTTTGTCCATCCACTTTATTGCAGCAACACCTTCCTTAGTTAAGAACACTGATTCCCCTCTTTGTAGTTTGTTATTAGCCTTCAGCATTGGTGGAAGATCCTTCCTTTGCGGCCTCACAGTCCGCACAGAAAACAGACCACTTATAAGTAGACTTTTTGCGAGCCTAAAAGATGTCAAATAGTTATCATAGGCTATAAGATGACCTGTCTGTTTCACATCTTCTGTTAGTTTAGTTTGTTTCCCCTAAGCTCAATATTTTACCCTTATTATCAGAAGTTTCTTTTCCACAATAAATTTCAAATTTTTGAATATATCCAGTCTTAGAGTCTGCTAAACACCACACCTTGTAACCTCTTTGTATAGGCATCATTGGCATATACTGCTTCAATGAAGTTCTCCCTTTGAAAGCTATCATACATTCATCTATTCATAATGTTGACAAAGGTTCGTAGACTTTAGGTATGGAATCATTGAGCTGTGAGAGGATTGGTCTGACTTTATAATAAATAAATAAAATATAAACAAAATAATAACTTACGTTTGTAAATATTTGAAAGATACAATTTTTCACACGTAACACATCCAACTTCAGTACTACGGTTTACTGCAAACCTTCATCAGTTTGCTTTCCATTACACTTCAAATCATGTCATTTGACTAAACAATAGTTAGCTTCATTTTATTCCTTTGTTTTCCTTCAAGTTTGCTCCTCCAAATTGGCCCTTGATCAAGAATTAAATTATTTAAAAGCGGCATCCATTGACTGGGGCTTTTCACCCAACATTATTAAACCAAGCAATTAAAAAAAATATCATCTCAACACACCAAAAGGCACTGTCTTGTTTTAGGAGATTATAAGATTCTGTTGTTATTGCTTTCTCTTTCCATCAATTAGCTATAAAAATCAACGTATTTTACAGAAATTTAACTTTCAGGTCATTTATTCTATCAATAAAATTCCCATTCCATACTTAAGGATACCTTACAGGATATTAATTCCTATGGTATTTACAGGATTCCTTACCAATGTGGTTTAATTTACATTAGTCAAACTAAGAAAACCTTAAAAATTTCGCAAAGAAAATAAGGCATATGTTAGGAAAAAAGGAAACACAAAATCCTCTGTTGCCCAGCACTGTTGGTCCGAAAATCACACATTACATTTTTTTGCAGAAAAAATTATTCAAAAAACATCTTCCATTGATGAATTAAGATTTTCTAGAGGTGATTCACATTCAAAAAAATCTTTCTGTTTTAGTTAACGGCCCTAATTCTAAACTATCTTCACCTTCAGCCCTTAAGGAAATTATGTTTTAGTTTTCTTGTTTCACAAACAGATGCTGGCAGTAGCTTAACTCCTGTCCAGCCATTTTTATCTTATCTCATTCATTTGCATTTTGACAGCTGAGAATGATAGTTCGATAAAACCATTGGAACTAGTTCTGTGAAAATTTGCATATATAGCACTGATTTTTTGTTTTTTGACTTCAAGTTAATTTTTGCTGGGCATGTTATTCGAACATAAACAAATTCTAGTATTATTAGCAGTTAAAAAATACTGCTGGTGAATAAAAGTAGGTTATTAAATCTATTTATTTATGTACCATAAAAGTTTCTAATCTGTATGTATTAGTAATTCATACTTATGCATAATATTAATACAGTTTTAACTACAAGGTAACCAAAAAAGGGCTTGCAGTTTCTGATATGACATTGGAAGAGTGAACCCCAACATAAAAATAGTCACCAAACCTGGCAATGAAGATAGGTCATTGGACATTGATCCAAGAGTATAAAAGTGCTTTACATTGGTACTTCAAACATAACTCGCACAGTGACTGATTGAAATGGATACGTCATAGGTGTTCGTTGGAAAATGTTTGCTGTATGATTTTAAAGTGTGCCTGTCAGCAGCAGAATTAAGTCGCCGAATTTGCCAGGCATTTGGGGATGGTGCTGTTAACGAGTGAACCACTAGGCAATGGTTCCAGAAGTCAGGGGATATATCTCTTAGTGATGCACCATGCAGCGGTTGGCCACTAGCGCTGGATGATGAGGCCCTGAGACATAGAGAGTGACGGTAGCCAAACATGCGGTGAGCTTACTACACACTTCCAGGTATCCGATGAAATAATCAGACTCCATTTGCACCGTATAGGAAAGGCATATAAGCTGAGCAAGTGGGTACCCCATTCACTGTCTGATGCAAACAAGCAACAGCATGTCACTGCCTGTTTGTCATTGCTTACTCAGCACCGCAATATTTGATCAAGTACTCACCAGCAATGAAAAGTTGGTCCAGTATGACACACTCATGTGCTCCAGACATTGGTTGTCACCACTGGACCCTGTGCCTCACACTGTGAAACCTTCCCTCCACCCATGCAAGATCATGCTTTGTATCTGGTAGACTAGTCGCCAAGTGGTGCACTATGAGCTCCTGCTAGTGGGCCATCACAGCAGGCCTGTATTTGCAGCAGTTGGAACACGTGCATCAGGCACTGATGCATAAAGAGCCAGCATTGGTCAATCGTAAGGGTGTACTCCTCTTCCATGTGAGGCCCCATGCAGCTCGAGAGGCCTGGGACACCATCCAGCAACTGGGCTGGAAGACGCTACCCCATCCACCATATTCCCCAGACCTCGTGCCAACAGACTACCACCTATTCCATTCCATGGGTAACCATCTTCGTGCGAAATCCTTCAACAACCGGTCAAACCTCAAAAAGGTCCTCACAGACTTCTTTGCGTCCAAGACGCCTGAGTTACACCACGATGGCATCACACAGCTAGCCACTCATTTGCAAAAGACACTGGATGCCAATGGTGATTACTTTGAGGATTAGCGGTGATTATTATTTGTTTTATGACTTTTTCTTTCTGATTGTTCAAAACGGTAAGAATGTTTTTGGTTACCTTATAATTGCAGACTCTCATACATAGAGTAACTGAAAACAGAAGTAATTATAACACTATTAAAATCTATTAATAATGTATCAAACCCACCTTTGTTATAGGAGGTTCTAAGGTCATTGCATGAAATTTTGCAAAAGATTGTCTTCGGTTAAGACCAGCTATATAAAAATAAAGAGAGATCTGATTAGTTTGCAAAGACTTTTGTGTCCCCAAAATTAATAAAATAAAGAGGTTAAATTATGCACTACACTTATGAAAAATATTCCAAACCGTATGCAGCCATTTATAAAAAATTAATACCCAGATCTTAAATGATAGTAAATTATAAATGCGCTTCGAAGCAAAGGCTGAAAAATAATGAAGAAATTGACGTAATATGCATTACTTCTTTTATAATTAGTATATGTGCTACTTTTTACTTGAAAAAATTGAAAAATAATAAAAGAAGAAAACTGATTAATGATAATAAGAAAAAGTTATGGTAAAATAATGAACAAAAACTATACATGTTAAAAGATGGAAGAATTTTGTATGCCCCAAACAGAACCAGAATATTCATGTGCTTGATTTAAAAAGCTTATAAAAGCTGGAGGAAAACATCTCAATTCAGTTGTTGTTTGGATAACCATTGTTTACTGTAGCAAATTCGCAATGAAATTAGATTAGCTTTCTCTGTAATGAATTAAGTTCTGTTGAACGTTTTAGCAGTTTGAAAGGTAACTATAGTGAGATATTACAATATTGTACTAATATCTCCGAGGAAATTTCAGCATATTATATTTATTCATTGTGATAAAAATAAATTTTATTCACTTTTCACCAGACTTGTGCATTTAATTTATAATGAACTTGCACGCACACTATCATGTATACATACGGGTTCGTAATAATGCCATATGTATGACATCATGATTTAAATTTAATGTAATATAACAACTTTTTTCCAATATCAATAAAAGAATTAAAATGGCAATAACATATCATGTCAATTACCCTAACTTGAAACAAAAAAGTTGTCAACAGCAGCTATTTATTTAAAATGCTGCCATTAATGAAAAATTTTCAACATATAATGATTTACATGCAACTGCATGCTGTCTTCAGTGTCAGACTATGACCATATATAATAATGATATGTTTAACATTTGGCAATGCTAATTTTAATCCACATTTTGTAAAGCTTACAAATGTTTGATTAACAAACTCTATGATTTGAAAGCGAGTAATGGTAACATTTTTCAAAATAACACATTTTTATCTCCAGATCAAAATGGCTTCCCATGAATTTCTGGAATCGGGGGTACCTCTCTCAAAACTCTACTAACGGCCATTCCGGAGAAGATGATATTACAAACAAATAGATGCGCACAGATTTTAAGAGTACAGATTGTAGAGAATATAGTTATATTGCTTTCCTTCTTTTAAACTAAATTTCTTCAGTAACTAGCTAATTATACCAAAAGGTGATGCAAAGCAATGGTCTTTAATCACCCTAAAAATAATTTAGAAGTTGATACCTGTTGATAATTTAGAAGGATGGATACATTCGACCATCTTATTGCATATTAATTATTTTGCACAAATGGCATTATATTTACCATTTCCAGGAAAATCGAAAAGTTAAACACTTCAGATATTTGTGTTTTAATGAAACTGCCACATACAATAACACCACAAATACAGAAATGCATAGAACTGTGGGAACTACAGTTAAAGAATTTAAATATGTAACATTTTAATTATAGTTATATCCATTTGAGAGTGTTTTGTCTTAGAACTGTAATATATGACTCTGCTTTCGAGTTATCACTACTCATAATTAAGCACTATGTTAACCTGTCACTAAATGAAATGATTTATAACCTGAAAGAAGCTATTTTGTTAATTTCAGGCACAATAGATTACTGGATGATGGCATAGCCTACTTAACTGCTCCTACTGTCAACGGTTCCAACCCTCAATTTTTTGAAAGAATAAAGAAATAAGCCATCACTCTTACTGTGAATGGTCATTCATATTCTGGACATGAAAATTTGAGGTTTGTCACTGTGAGGGCTGCAGGAAGGTAGAATAGAGATCATTCAACAACACTCACAATGTTAAAATATAATGTCTGATGATTTATATCAACAGCTCCTACAAAAGCTACACAAAGCTTGCTTTATAGCTTTGTGTTTACATCTTAATTTATTTGCAGGCAGTGAGGATGATAGTATTTGGAACATTTAAATTTATAAGAAATACAGCTAGATGCACCATCGGGGGGGGGATTAAACATGAAAATAAAAGAGAAGCACATCAATATATCCCCACACTATTTTGAAATTATTACACAAACTTTATTTTGAAAAATTTCAGAATTAATTCTGTTACTTCAGAACAGACATTCCAAGGCCATTCCACTTCCAAACTTTTGTAAAAAAGAAAAAGTTTGAATGCTCTAATTTGCTAAAAATCCTCCAATTCTTTCTGTGCAGTGATGATGAAATTTCCATGATTTTATGTAATTTAAACTAATTTTTGTATTAACTGCAAATATTTTTCAATATACGAGATACCACTCGGTGTCAAATATAAATGTTAGTATGAAATATAACTAGAGATAGAAAGTGTAATACTAAGAAATATACAGCTTCATGAAAAAAGTAAATTCAGAAATTCATGCGTAACTAACTATTCCAATCGATAGTTGTATAATGATTGATTCTTAACTTCAGATGACAGAATACATCAGCATAAGCTCTTGACAGCAGAAATGAATAAACGGAATAACTGTCAGAAAAAGAATGTGGTAACCTTCAGCATTTGTTCTGCAACATTTCATCTGGCGCCATTCATTGAAGTGCTGTTTTAATGATTTGTTAGCATTAAAATTTCATTCTATTTTCTGAACAAAATCTTTCTATTCAAATTTATTAAAATCTTTCTTATGAAAGAATTTCATTCCCATTGTTCATCATTTAACATTTGCCAAACTAGTACATGAATAAAAAGCAAATAAAAATATTAAAAAATTATTGGATGTTTATGCTTTACAGATATTAGCAATCATATTACTATATAGCTAGTCATAAGGTGTTGGTGTATAATTAAGATTAGCACTTAATTAACTGAAAAGTACCTATCTGTATTTCAGTACAGTGCAAATTTACAAATTCTTGAAATGTTTACAAACTTTATGAATACCTTGTGCATTATGCTTCATTGGATTATTACATGCTAAAAGTCTTACTGTGCAGTAACAGCCATATGTTAAGAAAAAATTATATTTAAAACCATCAAGAAATAAAATTGCTATTTTAATCAGAAACTACTCTTCAGCTTAGACAAGCATCTATAAGATCTGGCTAGAATATTCATTCTTACTTTTTTAAGATGCAGGGGGGAAAAAAGAAGTTAAACTTGAAAATGAAAGACAGGAATGCAAAAAAATCTATCCCTACATTATTTTGAAATTATAAAATTTATGAACTACATCATGCTTTAGAAAATATTTCTGATGAATAATATTTTGAAATTGTTAAACTGTATTTTGAAAAACTGCAGAATTTATTAAAAATATTTCTTAATAAATATTTGTGATTTTCTAAGGTAAAAGATTTCAGTATATATATAATAAATAAAGCAAATGAGGTAGCAAGCGAGGATTTCATTAAATATATAATAAATGCAAGTGAGGTAGGAGATGTGCATAAAAAAGATATGATTTTGTGCTGGCATTCACTTAAATGTAAATGGGTACATACTTTCACCACCCAAGGAACGAACATCGACTGAACCTTTTCTTGTGGGCTTGACTAATGGAAGCATGTCTATCAAAGTAAAAATAAAACAAAAACTGCCAAACTTCCAAATTTAAAATAAAGAATACTAGATAATGAAAAAAAAAAAAATACTTAAAGAATTAATGGAAATTAAGACCAAATTTTACTTTGCACAATTCTATTTTTAATTATAAAATGTGAAAGTTCAAGGCATTATAACAGGTATAAACGGCAAGAATTGGAAATTGAGAACATTTTAATAAAGTTAAGTATCTGTGGATTCTTTCAGAACATAAAACATTGGTTGTAATAATCATGTGAAGGGAATTATTTCAATTTACTTCAACTTTATTTATAATAATAGTATTAGTTTTACTTTGCATTTAAAACTTATATTATCATAAGCACTGACCGTAGTAATTGTGTGAAGGTAATAAGTTCATTTATAACAGTATTTAGTTTTACTTTGTATTTAAAATGTATACTATCATACATAAAAACTAGTTAAGTTTGCAAGTTACTTTATCGCACAGTTTTAATACAATTATATGAAAAATTGGAGGAAAATGCTAGAATTCTAACAAAGTAAAAATCAGTCCATACTGCAAAATTTCAACATCAATATTTGAAAAAATAAACTAAAAATTTGAAGACAAAAAGTATTAAAAATAATGAATCCTCATGCAAAATTAAATTTTATGAAGGAAAATATTTAATATTGTTACTGAAAATGATGAACATAAGCAGTTCAATAACATTCCAAAGCAAAACAAACACACAAACAAAATATAACAAAATTCTTTACTGAGAAGTTCTCTAAGTGAGTGAAATTCAGTATAGCGATAATTTTGTGCAAATTTCACAGAAAAAAAAAAAAAAAAAAAAAAATTGTGCATTTGTCAGATTTTAAAAACTACCAACCTAGAGTTTAAAAAGCTTTTAAAATCAGCCTTTATCTGTTTTACTTCTCAAAGATTGAAATTACAGTGACAAATATTAGACAATATGTTTGTGTACTGCTTTCTATCCTACGACAGAAAATGACCGTATGCTTATTATAACTATGTTTCAAAATTCATTATCAGATAAAATATTTCTTGAATAGTTGCAGACTAACTGTTCAAGTTCAAGAAATATATGAACTAAATTAGGCCTTATGAAGTTTGGCATCACGGGGTGAAATGAGTTGAACTAACACTTTGAAAAGTGAGAATTTTCCTACTGCCTTATGCGTTGCATTTTTGTGTCAAGGTTATTCCCATTTTGGGTGAGTTTTGGCGAACTTGGTGTACTTTTGTAGCAAAAAGGAGAAGTGTGGGTCTCTCGGCCTCTTTTTTTTGCTCTTGGCTCAGCTATTTCTCTTACCTCAATCTTTGTCGCTATGCCGCTGATTTCACTGAGGGGCAATTTTGCCCAGTGGTGGTGCGAGGGCACTAGGAACATAGTATAGTAATTGCTTCAAATAAAAATCTATTTGTTTAAATCATCGCAACAGCCTAATTTTTTGCTAGAAGAGCTTACAGAAGAAGAAAAATTTAGTCATGTCTTTAAAGTCAACCCAGAGTATTTTTTATCTCTTCAGACAAAACGAAAATGGTTTCTACGGAGGTGCATATTATCCATCTTATTTCCGTTTTAAACAGGATTCTCAAATTCCGCCTGGCTTATCGTTTTCTCAAGTATGGAGGCTGCCGGATGTCTTCTCTCCATTGTTACCATCTGTTATAGTGAACGGAGGACTCATCGAAGAAAGCTGAGAAGTTTCAACACCATTTGAGTATTTGCCTCCTGTCCCTGCTTTGATCTCGGAGGTCGGCAGCCATTGTTGCTTGTCATAGGATCCAGTCAGCATTAGTGTCATGTCCATGTCTTCAGAAGTGATACAGATAAGTTTTTTTTTTTTTTTTTGTTTTGTATTACTCTCAACTTTTTGACTAACGCATACCACCTAAAGAAAAATTGAAAACCTTTAAAGCACCACCACTACAAAGTACTACTACCATCCCCTCTCGACCAAAGCTCAGATCGCATAAATTTATGAGTGTTAGAGAAAAAACTCAATCCAGATGTTGGGGTTTTAATTTTTGAATTTAATAGTTAAAAATACTTTGCTTCTTTCCATATCATCTATTTTTCTTTAGCGTACCACTGATTGAGAACGATTAGTGAGTAGAATGGTTCAGTTAAAAAAATTTATTTCACCAGTTGTAACTTAAGAAATAGTGAATCAGCAGTTCCTTTATTAATTCTAGGTGAATCCTAGTTAAGCAAAATAGTGGAGGAATTTAAGATTAATTTGCTAGTTAAGGATTCTTCTTATGGTTGTTGGTTTGAAATAACAGTATTTTTGTTAAATTGTTAATTATGTGCAATATCATTTTATTGAAATTTGCTCTAGGTTGAATGAAAAAAAATATGAAGGGAAAATATAAATCTATTTAAGTTTCTGTACTTGATGTTGTTCTATCCCCTACTGCTCCGAAGTTGGGCTGTCTAAAGGCAGTATTAAATTTGTGCAATATTAAGTATTTTATATTTTTATAATCATCTAGTAAGATCAGTAGTTATATTGAAAATATTGCCTTTCTTAAGTATGTATTAGAATGTAAAAATGAATGGCAACTCAGTTTTTGTTGTTAAGATTTAAAAGAACTCTGTATTAACTCACGTCTGGGAAATTTAGAAGTTATATTGTTAACTGTCTAACTCATAACCTGCTCTAGTGAAAAATAAATCCAAGATAATCTTAAAATTTAAATGTTTTATTTATATATTAGGCTGTTTGATTTTATTAACTTTGTTCATGTTTTTTACCAGCTATCATTTGGGGTTGTTTGGTTACTTATTTGAAATTTGAAAATTCACAACACAATTAACAAATTCATATATTTGATTCATATTTGGTTAATTTAACTTGTTTTTGTGTCTTCTCCAAAAGGCACGTACAACAGAGGTAAATAATATGGATATGCACTTTACAATGAAGTTACATTTTATCTTTAACAGTGATCTATATTTCAAATTACTGAAAATACCAAGGTCAGTGGCAGAATCTTTAAATCTTTCAGTATGAATATTTTCTTTTCAGTTTAAGGTAGTTGAAACTGTATTGCTTATATGTTATTTCTGTTTATATGGCCTGTATACTTACTATATCTTTATTGGTTTTAATACTATCTTAAACAGTAAGAGCAGTCTCGTGTGATATGATAGATTGCTTTGAAGGCCTAAGAAATGCTAAGATTTTTCACATATAAATTAATGGCAACTGCTTCTTCACTTTTGGCTTATAAAAGATTTAAAATGAATCCTATACTTTTGCAAAGCAAAGGAAGTATTTCAACTGAGTTCTTTATATAAATTTCTAAAACCAAACTATATAGGATTAAATGTACATGAGCAGAAGTTTCAGTTTAACAGCTCTTTTAAGTTAATTTTTCACTTCAAACGTTATTGAAATTAAGTACAAATTTTTCATTCTAGTGTGTAAATCCCCTGTTCATTTTTCTACATTTTTCCTGTTATGTTAGCAAAAACAAAAGAATACTCCACTAGAATTTCTATAAAAATAACACTTCAACATGGGTATGGCAACATGGTCTTATGAAGTATTAAAGAAACCAAATGATATATATTTCTATCTTTACTATCATGAGAATCATTTTCACGTGGACAAAAACTGCATGATTTTCAATTTTATTATTAGACTACACCTTTACAGCATGTATGACAAGTAAAAATAATCTACAATAGCAAACTGCACCCTAGCAACATTAAGAATTGCAATCAAATATACATTAGAAGAAATAAATTTGTGAAGTCAAAAAGGTATGATTGCCCAAAAATAAAATAAAACCTGTATGTAATAAAAGACTAGATTAAAAGAATTTCTGGATGTAATCTCAGAATAAGCTGGAATTTTTTGAAACAGTAAATTTGGCTGGAGGGAAAGAAACTGATTTTAGCTTTATATTTTGCTTTAAAAAAGTTACCAAAATTTAATATTTATTGAGTAATATTTTGTTTGAGGAATACACTTGAGGGTGCTTTTTACTATTCCCCCTTTCACTGCTCAGAGGTTATGCTTTATTTTTTCCTTCTACAGCAACTATGTTTTTTCATCTTCACAAGTTCAATCTTTCACTGATTCACAATAATACTTTACTTTACTTTTTAATTTTTCATATGTTTTAACACTAATGAAAACTGAAAAAATACAAGTTAAAACAGACAAAAGAGAACTTCTAAAACAAAAATTTAACAAAGAGTAAATTCTAAAAAGATACCCGTGGTATCAGAAGCAAATGGCTTCTCACTGAAAGGGCATTCATTCACATGAACCAGATGCTCAGCTGAACTGGAAGAAAAAAAAAAAAAAAAAATTGTAGGCTTGGCAGTAAATTCACTTGAAATCATTACAATACATGTGGAAAAAAAAATTTAGAAATTAGAAACATGCGCAATTTAAACTTAATAGCTGTTTTTTAATGTTCAGTTCATAGCTGAAAATATCAATTCACTTGCAATAAGCTGAATATAATGAGAAAGATTTTCAAATTAAAAGATAAAAAAACAGAAAGTGTTAAGCTTGCACAGTCGGAGAATAAAACAAGAGCAAAAATATTTTTCATGGGCATACTTTCTACAAGAATAATTGTTTATATAAGAGCATATGGGAATGAAAGACAGTAAACAGATATGTGCAATATGTATGTCATATTTTTGGAATAGAAACCTATGTTTGTGAAACAGTTATGATAATTTTTTGGGGTAAAGGTTAAGGGCAGTTTCACATTTCATAGAAATTAGCTTGGAATTAGTTTATAGTTTTTCATCTTGCAAGAAGTTTTTGTTATGCTGTATAATTTCTGAAACAGTCTATAACCTACTTTCAACATACCCTGCATATGTCTCTACAGGAAGAATTCTACTCCACAGAGGCAAGTTCTCACCAGATTTCCTTTTGTGGAAAAGGGTTCCTTCCCATTCCTATGATAATTATAAAACACAGACTATTGTTATTATAAAACACAGACTATTGTCAAACTATTGTTATTAAAAGCCAGTAGGGAAAGCTAAAGAAATTTAATGTACCCAAATTTATTTTAATATGATGGATAAATCCTTTCTTACAAAATACATAAAGAAGATTTTAAGTTTAGTTAAGTGTATTAAAAAGAAAAACATGTTTTAACAATCGGAAATTTCTCAATCACATGCAAATAAAAATAAAATCAATAAGTTCTTAATAATGGCAGGTTTTAAATCAAAATTTTTGATCAGAAATCCAAATGCATGTAATCATTTTTTAAATTATATTTATACTATCATTTTCACTGTATCTTAAAATTTTATTTGTCTCAATATGATGCTTTATGGGCATCCCATAATTTAATCACATATGCTAAGAATATTTTGACAGCTAAAAAATTATTTTTAGTGCTATTAATTAGAATATATAATTAAGATAAAATAACATGCTGAACAATTATTAACTTAGAATTCAAACAACAAAAATCAGCGTTATATTTGCAAATTTTCACAGTACTAGTTTTGATGGTTTTACCGAACCATCATCCTCAGCTGCCAAAGTGCAAATGAACGAGATAAGATATAGTGATTAGATAAGATACGATAAGAATGGCTGGACAAGAGTTAAGCTACTGGCACCATCTATTGATGAAACAAGAACTAAAACATAATTTCTTTAAAGGCTGAAGGCAAAGATGGATTGGAATTAGGGTCATTAAATAGGAGAGAAAGATTTTTTTTTAATGTGAAATGCATCTAGAAAATCTAATTCACCAATGGAAGAGGTTTTTGAATAATTTTGGCTGAAGAAAATTGAAAGTGAGATTTTCGGACCAACAATGCTGGGCAACAGAGGACTTCGGTGTTTCCTTTTTTCTAACATATGCCGCTTTAAGGAAATTATGTTTTAATTCTCGTTTCATCGATAGATGGTACCAGTAGCTGAATCCTTGTCCGGCCATTCTTATTGTATCTTATCTCATTTATTTGCGCTTTGGCAGCTGAGAACGATGGTTCGGTAAAACCATCGAAAGTGTGAGGAGGATTCTTTACTTGCAATATTCCTTAAAGAGTTCTTAACATGCATTTTAAATATTAATACAGTCAAATACTGAAAATCCGCCGACCTGAAATCCGCGTTGCCTCTCAGAATATAAACATTCAGTTTATAGGTTCTGGAAACCACAACATTGAGTATGAAGTATCGAAGAAAAAAATACTTACCGAATAATGACGTCATAATTACCAAACAATAATGAGTCAAAACGGAAATATCAAATTATTGATATAAAAAAGTTAAAAAAAGTAAATAAGATAATTTTTTTCCCCTCTAATCTGCATCGAGGTAAAAAAGCAGACGATTCACTCAACTCTTTGATAAAGTTCGCGATTTACGTTGTTGTATTTTCTGAGCTTTGTTATTTCATTTCACGAGATTGTTTAGTTCTGCCTTTTTTTTTATCCAGATATTCTGTTGATAAATAAGGAATATTTTTTATTTCAGCCCTTAATACAATGACAGATAAGAAACGTACTCATGATTTTACTGCTTGCAACATTGAAAAACGTAAACACATTGCATTGATGGTAACGCAAAAAGTGTAAATTCTGCAAAAGATGGAAGCAGGTGCTACCCCTCGATTTATAGCAGAATGGTATGGAATTGCGACATGATTGTGTATGATATACAGAAAAATAAAGAAAAGCTGTTGAAATTTTACAGCAACAGTGATTCACACCAGAATCCGAAACCGAAAATAACTAACATCAGAATCCGAAACCGGAAATCTTTGCATGAGGCGAAATCAGAAAACCTTGATGCTGTGTACATATAATACAATGCATAATACAGTCAAAAGTTGTTAATTCGGACACCCATAAACCGGAATAATCTAGAATTAGGACCTTAAAGCTACAAACTTTCTGCGCATGCGTCTGGCATTCACGCGTGCGCATAAGACCTTTACCGCTGCGAATATACGTGTGCGCAAGCGCATAATACGTTTACGCATGCACGTTTAATGTATAACAGATGGTATAAGCTAAGCTAAAATTATCTAATTCCGTTAACGTTGCAGATTGCGTTGTTCCTTAATCTTCGAATTGGATCCGGCTTATTATTTTTTTCAGACTTTTAGAGCAGTTTTATAAAAGTAAGTTTGAACTTTCGATCATGTCAAATAGAATTTCTGATATATATTTACTAATATGTAAAGGATCTACAAAGCGAAAGTATGTTTTGAAATCCGAAATCTGCTTATCAATTTCACGCTGCTCTGTGGCAGGGGGGCACGCTGCTCTGCGGCAGGGGGACGCCGCGCGCGTCCCCCCCTGCCGCAGAGCAGCGTGAAATTGGAAGTTGATCTGTCAGCACTATCCTTATCTTCAGGGCAGATGTTTTTATTTTATTTGGCTTATAATTCCTTACTAAATGTAGTATTTCAACTTGATATACTCCGTCTTTGATATGATTTAAAGTTCCTCATCATCATAATTCGTTTCCGATAGTGAAGAAAGTGACAGAGAGGTTATTGAAAACGAAAACATTTTGATTGACAAATTAGTCGGTATTCTCCACACAGCAATTATAGGACTTGAACAGCGGAACTTTGTAACTAAACAAGAAATTATGTATGTTTAATAGAATTAAAGAGAAAGTATTATCACATGAAACGAAGCAACTTAAAACAACTTACATTGAAAGAGGATGTTTAATAAAGTAAACAAATAAATATTAAGCTTTTTTTTTTTTTTTGTAAATTTTGATACCCTTTAGATCATAATTGTTTTTTTATTTCATAAATTATGGTTTCATATTTTTAATTTTGTAATTTCTGCATGTCATCTTACCAGATTTAAACTGATGATCTATAATCCGGAAAAATCGATAATCTGGAATCGCCAAAGTCCCGACGAGTCCGGATTAACGACTTTTGACTGTATAATCAATTTATATATGTAATAATAATTTAATGCATATAATAAATTATTGCAATAATGTATATAATAATTTAATTAAATGTATCTAATACGTCTTATTTATTTTGCACTTTTAGTCCGAATATTATGCTTTATCTTTTCTGTCCTGAAATCCACAAAACCCTAAAATCCGCACAACCTCTGGTCCCAAGCTTTGCAGATTTCTGAAATTTTACTGTATGTAAATTACTGTTTTCTATTTGGCTGTCTTTCAAAAAAAAAAAAAAATTTTTTTTTCCTCTCAAGGATTAGATTTCTCCTTAAGGCATCACCTCGGAAGCAGTCTAACAGCATCTGATCCAAAAGGAAATCTGTTATCCTAACTGACACACCTGATAAAGAAGCATTGGGGAAAAAAATTCAGAAAAGAAAAAGAAGAGATAAAATGGATGGAGAAGAGGATTTTGAACTCAGATACAGATTCTGAAACAGAAAAGAGGTTTTGCTTGCAAAGATGCTTTACAACTGTGAATGAAGAAGAATCGATGCAATGCATAGATGCAAAATCTGGGCACACATTAAATGTATGACAGAAAGCAATCTATCATTTGTTTGTGTTAACTGACATTCTAATTGAGACTGACTTTTTATGTGGATTGGTTAATTAATTTTATCTTTGTTTTACTATAAATTGCTTGATATCATTCAGTGTCACTACATCAAAAAATAAAAATCATCAATTTTTTTTTTTAAATATTGTTGTTTTTATTTTTACAACTTGCCCCAGGCCTGTTAAAATTTACCTTAAGTCCCAGACAAATTCTAACAGTGAAATAGTTTGGGTAAAATACTTTTTTTTTTTTTACTAAAATCAACAAAATTGCCAAATGCTTGTTTTGTGAGTATGATGAAGGAATAGTTATGCTATGAAAAAACAGGAGTTACAATCAAGGAATTGTAAATATATTTAAAATAAAAACATTGTTTCAAAAATTGTTAAAACTAGCTTCCCTACTTAGGAAATGTAATACACATAAAATTATTCTCAGCCTTCAGCAGCACAACAAGCTTTTCAAAGACATATTAATAACAATATTTTTATTATAATAAAGAAAAAATTAAACTGAAGACTCATAGCCAATTGGGAAACAATATCACTGTGAATAAGGTCATAGACCTTGAAAAGAAACAGATCAGCCCAAATGTGTTTTATCCTTTACTTGTGTATTTCAAAAACCTTACCCAATCCCAGCCAAAGAAGTAGGAATGATTCGGAAAATTTCACTATTATTTGCTATAGCTACACTTATAACTTTCAATTTATATAGCTATTTCTGCTGTGAAAAATTTGGCTAATAAAGTGAAATGCAACATTTCTTAGTCAACTTTGATTTCAACAGAATCATCCAATGATATGAGCTTTTTTAAAGCTCTAAGAGTGCATCTGAAAATTCAACTTCTCTTTTGGAGGAAGTTAAAAGCTCATACAATAGCAGTTGAAAGTTTCCAATTAAAGTAAAAAATAATCATTACCATGATTATTTTAAAAAGCACGGATTATTTATTGAAATATGGCACTGAAAATATGACAATGTAGACTAGAAGAGAAACACGCTAATGTGACAATCAAAATCGTAAAAAACAACCTTATACTTAGCATAGGTATAATGAAACACTCAATCGATTTCGAGGGCAGCTAAAGGTCCCTCCTCATCAGGAGAAAGAAATACATAGAAATAAGAAAATAGGAATCACAGAAACACGTGGTGCTTATCAGCACTGCACGTGGTTATAACTACATTTTTAATCAGAGTTGCACTGGCCGCCTACTTTTACTGAGCCAGGCTGTCTGATCAAGCATAAAGAAATATTAGCGAAGTTAAAATAGGGAGCGAGGGGCAAATGCACATTACGCTCAAAATCTGAACTTCAAATAATGGAAAGCAACCACTGAACGGATTTTTATACCCTCTGGTAGTACCAAGTGCGAGGAGGTAACGCCATCTATCGGCAAAAATAATTGAATTAAGACAGTAGAA